GTAAAGCAGATGCAAGATTCTAACCTTGTAGTACAACACACCATGTACTCCTCCCACCCAAGCCTTGAAGTCCACAGTTAAGACCTAACATGATTTTTAAACAGATCTTCACAACAAAGCACCAAATATACACTAAATCATTGGAGCAGTTAAGTAGAACCTGATTTAAGTTAGTCAATGTCAGTGCACAGCACTAAACAACCCAAGACTCTAATAAAAACAACCCCTTTGTCTTCAGAATGAGCATATGCCTTGCAGTAACCAACAAGGAAATGCTGTCAGCTTAAAGCGGCTTCCAGTGCAATCCTATGCATGTTTAGACAGGAAAACAGTTCTGTAATTCCCAGCATACTCTCCCTTCCTGGAGGGATGCTGGGAGTTGTAGGACCTCAGTGAGTGAGAGAGAAGAACCATTGGCTCAGCTGTGATCATGTGATATTTGGCACAGCGAAAGAGCGAGCGAGCGTGCTAGTACAAGCACCATTGGCTCAGTTGTGACCATGTGACATTTGGCATCGCGTACTACTCGTATTGCAAGACATCGCTCGTTTATCGAGTTAAATTTTACTAGAAATGTTTGCTTGTCTTGCAAAACACTTCCAGAACACTTTACTTGCAATCCAAGGTTTTACTACTATATCCTTAGCAGCGCATTGACCAGCCATGCGAAGCTCGGACGAGTCATGGCTAATGAGTCACTGCTCGTGACATCATTGCCTGGCACCGCTACTCCTTTCCGAGCATGTGCCTGGCCTCTATGTGCGCTGTTATCTGATGCTCGGCTGCTGGGGCGACTTGGCTCGCATGCCAACAGAGAGGGCTCTGCATGCCCGCTGAGGCACATGTGCCATAGGTTTGCCTTCACTGCTCTAGAGCAACCAAAGCCATCTCAACTCCATGTTCTGCTCTGAAGCAGTGTGAAATGGGTCCTGAAAATCGGTATCACTCAGGACCAGCTGGAGCTGGAGAGATACTGCCTTCTTAAGCACCTTACAAAGAAATGGTATGTTTGAGACTGGTATAAAGTTGTTAAGGTCCAGGGTGTTTGAATTTGGTTTCCTGAGGAGGGGCCATACAATAGCCTCCTTCAGGCAGGCAGGAACCCTCTCTGGAGGCATTGATGATAAGGCATAATAGCTCCCTCAATGCTTCCACCCCCTGGACTACCAGCCAAGATGGACACAGGTTGAGAGTGCAGGTGGCTTTTCTTACCAGTCCAAGTGGCCTGTGAACATCATCAGGACTTATAAACAGAAAATTATCCAGGATAACCCCATTCAGGGAGTTGCTGGACATCTCTGTGTCAATTTTCACTTCCACAATCACATGAAGCCCTGCTCTTATCTGAGAAATTTTATCTGCAAAATGGTTGTTAACATCATGATGGTGCTAAAGATAGGCTAGAGGGCACTGGGGCTTGAGACAAATCCCTTTCCACCATAAATAGGTGCAGTTTGTAGGTGCAGTACAAGCAGAGAAGAAAGCCTTCTTTGCTGCTTGTTTTGCCACACCATGGGAGTGAAGATGCTCTCTACAAAATGTTTTGTCGGAGATGAGTCTAGATTTCCACGATTGGCACCCCAGTTGTCATCTGTCTTGCTTCATACATCGTAGCTCCTCTGTATAAGGGAGCGTTTTTGGAAGCAGGACAGAGAAGATGCTCAGGAGAAATAGTGTCTAAGGCACTATTCAACTCCTGATTCCATTTTGTGCTTAAGGACACAACAGAATAACTAGAAGAACCGGCCAAAGAACCCCCTACTGCTGACTGGAAACCTATTAGATCCGTAAGTCTTCAAGGGTGGACCATTCTAGTAAGAGCCATCATTTCTACAGGGGCACAAAAAGTGGGGTTGTGATCTTAGACTTGACCAGGTAATGATCTGACCAAGTCAAGACTGAGGGTGCAGAAACCTCAGTCTTCAGAACCAGCTCTCCAAAGCTGAATATAGCATCAAGTGTGTGCCCAGCAGTATGTGTAGTTCCAGACACCAACTGGGACAGGCATGTGGCTGTAATAGTCAACATGAATTCATGGACAGCACCAGACAAATTGGAATCAAAAGCAACACTGAAATCCAGAATTAACCATCTGGGGGAATCCAGCACCAATTCCAAGAGAAGTTTTGTGTGTTCAGCCAGAGATTCTGCTAGGCAACAAGGTGGTCTTTATAGCAGAGGAATCCCCAGACTGTCTCTGGACCCCAACCTTGAGTACATACACTTGATGAATTTCAGCTCCTGACCAGGGTACTTCATCACAGAGTTGGTATTCTTACAAATCACTCCCTGCCTACTTTCCTTTATCTGTTCTACAACACTGGCAGGGTCTGCGCCCATGGGACCGCTATCTTCTCCCAGCTAGGTATCTGTGAGACAGGCCAGGTTGACTTCCTCATCTCTAACCAGATCTTCGATACCTGGCACAGAAAGGACACTGCTGGCTACTCACCAAGGCCTTTTGGAGAGCTGAGAGAAGAGGGCACTGAAGAGGCCAGGATACAACTATCCTCATGACTCTCCATATCCCATCCTGTCCCATCCCTTTCCTAAGTGTGCAGCTGGACAGGCCAAAAAACCCATCTAGATTCACACAGCAGGAAATGTTTGTTCATTATTTCACCACATGATAAAAGGATGAGGGCACACAGAAGCAGATGGCATGTTTGGTTTGCCGCAGGTGGCATGTTTGGTTTGCTGCTAGTGGATAATATAAGTTCGGCTTTTTATTTCATAAATACGAGGAGGACTCAGATAGACATTGAGTATTTTATTTGAAAGTAACTTTCAACCCAGCATCTTTTTTTTTTCAGAGTTCAAAATGTTTTTGTTGCATGCAGAAATAAAAATTTGTTTTCTCTGTAGCAGTTCATTGATTTCATAAATGCAGCACACTATAGTTTTTCTATACATAGCATAAAGGTAAAATACTATATATGCAGTGTTATCTTCATTTTAGATGTCAAAAGGGTTTTGCGGCTCCCGGTGTTTTCTTTTCTGTGGGAAATGGGTCCAAAAGTCTCTTTGAGTGTTAAAGGTTGCCAACCCCTGGGATAACCTATCCCTTCCCTAATAGAAAGGAACTGGCTAGGAGGAGGAATATGGCCTTAATGGTTCTAGGGGGTGAGAAAATATTTAATTTTTTTCTGGAAAATTGTCTAAAATGTATCTTTTGCTTACCCACCCATATCCCTAGCCTTTGCAGAATTTTCTCCAAATATTCTTTGCTCATGGGTCATTCTTCTGAACCACAGGGGCAAACCCTTTCTGACATGGGTATCCTCCTATAGTGGCCTGCCTTTCAATATGGGTTGGATTGCCTTGCAGGGATGGCTCCCAGGGGTAGTTTTCTGCAGTACTTCTGCTGTTCTGTGAGTGCCCATCTCAGGTGGCAATGAAAAGGGAACTCTATGTCATCCTGAGGCAGGATGGTCTGGATATCTTATGATATCTTATTCCTGTGCTATTTAGTTAGGTGAAGATGTCCAGAGATTTGAGATATAGTGGTGTAATTGGTATGTGGGCAACACCCAGTTCTAGTAGTACTGATGGTCAGCAGTACAAATTAGCCAGAGAAAGTTTATAGTATGTATCAGAAGAGATTAGCTTTCCCTTTAGAATTCCCTCTGTGGAGAGGTTATATGCTCCCTGTATTTTTATTTTTTTATTAAATTGTATTTATATCCTGCCTTTTTTCTTACAGAGAACTCTAAGTGACTTACATCATTTCCATTCTCCTGCTCTCAATCTTATCCCCACAACAATAATCCTGCTAGGTTGGGCTGAGAGTCTGCGACTGGCCAAGAGTCACCCAATTGACTACTTGGGAGAGCTGGGACTAGAACCAAGATTACCTGAGTCTCAGAGCCATACCACTACACCACACTGGCTCTCAGTATTAATAAAGGCATCATTTACTTTTGAAAGATGATTTAATAGAATTGGGCTAGAAAGCCATCAGGTCCAAGCCCCTGTTCAATGCAAAACTCAATTCTCCTATTCAAATTCTAACCAGGCCTGGCCCTGCTTAGCTTTCAAGGTTAGGCAGGATCAGCCACTTCAGACTATTTGGAAGCATTGCATTGTGCTTGCATTAATCCAGCTGTAAAAGATGTGCTTTTCCAAAGGGCTTTGGGATTGATTTGTCTGAGAAAAGTCAAACTGTTGAGTTTTTTTTAATTGCCATTTGATTTTAAATTATGCCTTCTCTCTCATACTAGAACACCATCTAGTTTCTTAAAATTACATTAGAAGCATTGATGAGTATGATGCTTGTAGCTGGTTTAAGTAGCAAGTCACACTTTTTTCCTTGTTAAAATTACAGCCAGATGCAAACCGAATATGCTCCGCCTTTTTCAGTAGGGTGAAATCTCTCGTCGTTCTTCTCCTGGCTGAGTGGTGAACTTTTGAAAAAGAGAGTTGGTGACAGTCTGCCTGGGAGTTACACCCATGGAAGCCTTGGCTCCAGCAATCGTAGAATTCCTCCTGCATATGCTCCAACAATTCTTAGTCAATCAGTGAATCTGAGCAGAGCAAACCGGTCAAGCCCGAGCGCTGATTCAAGAAAAAACCCCGGGCTAAGGCTGAGCTACAAGCACATGCGCTCTTGGCATATACTGTGCCCCCTTTCCGAGAGACCTCATGTGACAAAAGACGCGCGCGGGAGGAAGGTTGAACGAACACACGGTCCAGATGGTACGGTCACGTGGTGAAGCGGATAGGCCGATGGAAGAAGACAAGGAGCGGGTAGTCATGTGAACAGTACGAGGAACTTCGATTGGAGGTTTATCACGTGACGGCCTGTGAGCGGCGTCTCGTGCATTGAAGGGCGGGGCCCAACTGCCCGATCCGGGTACTACGCAGGCGCAGTGCGGCGCAAGGCCGCGGCGGCCGCTCCCTGGCTGCCAGTGCTCGCTAAGATGGCGGATTTCCTGCCGTCGCGGTCCCCGCTGTCGGGTTGCTTCCCCGGCTGCCTGCTCAACAGCAGCGAGGCGGAGCAGCAGCGAAAATCCAAAGAGATCGACAAGTGCCTCTACCGTGAGAAGACGTACGTCAAGCGGCTCGTCAAGATCTTGCTGCTGGGCGCGGGCGAGAGCGGCAAGAGCACCTTCCTCAAACAGATGCGCATCATTCACGGGGAGGACTGGGACCGCGCCGCTCGAGAGGAGTTCCGCGCCACCATCTACAGCAACGTCATCAAGGGTGAGGGGGTCGCGCGCGTGGCGCGGGGGTCGGGGACGAGCGTGCACCGGGGCGGGAGAGCCGGCAGGGCGATATCCGTTGCCGTGGGGGAGGGGTGAGCCTACATTGAGGCAGCGGCGACGGCCGGGGCGAGAAACCCCTGCGAAGGGGCGGAGGGAGTCGCGGCGAGGAAAGAGAGGCGAATGGGGCTGCTCTTGCCGGAGCAGGAGCGGGAGGGAGGGACGGACGGAGAAGCGGAGAGCCCTGGAGGTGCGTGCTGAAAGGCGCGAGGGAGGGCTTGTGAGGTGTGAGGGACACTGGCACGCAACCGGCCGGAAAGAGTGCCACGCTCTTGGAGCGGTCTCCCTCATCGCCTTCCCGCCCTCCTTTCTCTTCTCTCCCCCACGCGTTTCGTCGTCGTCTGATGTGCGGGGTTCTTCGACTGGGGGGCGCCGGCCGGTCTGAAGGGGTCAGTCTTCGGACCCAAGAGTAGGCGGAAAGAGTAGGGGTAGCAGCACGTCTGGGGGGGGGGGGGGTCAAGTATGTTTGGGGGAACTAATAGGATAGGACTTGCTTGGAGAATATAGGTTCAGAATATGAAGAGAGGACAGGAGTGTGGGAGAATCAGAAGGTGCTTGAGGCTGAAGGAGTCCGTGAGGCTGACAGTTCTGGGTAGCAGTGCCAAGGCCGTTGTCTTCCTGGTAGCTTCTTTTGTTTTTGTCAGGGTATAGGCTTATTGTGAGAATACGTCTTTGTGCATGTTGGGGGAGTGGCTGGGACCCAGAGGTGTGCTTGGGATTAATGGGACTGTGGTGGTTAGGGTAGCCTTTGTATGAGGCACAGCTGTTTACACAGCAGCTGCAGCAATAGTTTGTTGTATATGGGCTTAACTGATGAAGCTAAGCAGGAGGTATGTTGGGAGAAGAGAGAAAGCATAGTTTTGTAGAACTTGCTCTTGTGGTTGCAAGGCTGGCTAACGCTGGGCTACAAGGAACTGTGTCCGGGAGTACCATAGTGCAAGAAAGGCTGTAATGAAAGAGCTAAATGTAAGACCTGATCCTTGCTTTTTAACAAGATATGGTGAAAATGTGTTAAAGCATGAATGGTGATGTGCCTCTTGTCTGTAATCATGTACTCCCCCGACAAAAAAAGGGGGGGGGACTAAAAGTTTCAAGATGATAAGTGGAGGCCCAGTGGAGGATGTACTCTGTGAACAATGCATAACAGAATGGAGTGGAACAGTATCCAATATCATCCAGGGAAAGAATGCCACGAGGTATATATTTTTAGGACTAATCGTTCATTTAAAAGAATTCTTGCATTTTCATCAAAAGAGAAAGTAGTAGCTGTGTCTCATAAGAACTTACTTATGGCAGTTGACATAGACTGAAGTTGGATTACATGGGAGGTAGCTTTGAATGAGTGCTATAATGAATAAACAAGAATTCTTGAGAATTACACAATAAGCAGAGAATGGTGGTTTTGTTACTAGTTGATGACTTATTTATTAGTTTTAACAAGGAAATGAGCAATTAATGGAAATGTGTCTAAAACTTTTCCAGTAGTGGATATGTGTTGTATCATTGCCTACTGTCTTTCTTTCATGCTGTCTTATAACATAGATGTGAATAGTGCAGAAACTAATGATCTTTGCATGCTTGTGTGCTTCCTTTTCCCTTCCCCATCTCAAAAATATTTGGATTAGACTTGAGCTACAACTAAGATTCAAGCTTAAACCTGTTCAGTCTCATTTTCATTTTCACCATTTCCTAATAATTTGCCCTATTGTACAAGCTATGAAGAGTATAAATTTGTATGAATATAAATTGTTTGTGTCAAGTAATAAATACAGAATATATTTTTGTGATGAACATGACATTAAACCTGTGCAAGTATACAGAGCATCAGTTAAAAAAATTATGTACAAATATTTTAAGATAGGCTAAATGGAGAGATGTTTGCAGAAGGCTGCTATTAAAAGGCACACTGTCACACAAGCCAGTGTTGCCCTCATATAAACCATTGGAAAGTGATAGATTCATGGAGTACTAGATTTGGAAAGGGCCAAGAAGGCCATCGGATCCAACCCTCTTGCTTTTTCAGGTCACCAGTTTACACCATCCCACTCTCAAGTGGTGGCTTACGAATGATTAATTCTTGAAACAAAGTTTGCTGCATGCAAGAGCCTCTTTTAAGTCTGTAGAATGGGGGACGGGGTTTAGTAAGAGAACTGCTTTTGAAAGTGTATGCAATCTGCTTGTGAACTATAAATATAAGATAGAGTGCTAGAGTGGAATTTTAGAATAATCTGTTTTGTTCCCTGTTTTCTAATCATTGGTGTTGTCTAACCCTCACAATTGTTCATAAACGTATCATTTTTTGTAGTGTGTAAATGATCTTGTCAGACTGACTCTGCAAAATCTACTTACTGGTCTGCCATGCACATGTAAATTTCTGCACAGTTTGTGTGTGCTCCTTTCATTTGTGCACAAGGCATGCATTTTATTCTGCCTTCAGGTATTTTCACCCAGTAGTTCATCTAAGGATATATTCATGTGACTGTAAATTGGCAATTAAAGGGTGACACTTTTAACTAATTATGCTTATCAGCCCCATAAGGATTTTTTTAACACACTAATAGAGATGTAGCTTGTATGTGGACTCCATTTTTCTGCTACTAGAAGGGAGTCCTATGTGTGTTTCAACAGGAAAAAACATCCTACAATTCCCAGCATACAGATTGGGTAGTGCTGAGAGTTGTAGGATTTTTTCCCCTGTCAAAACATGTACAGAATTCTGTCCTGAGTTTCATGCCCCTGTGCTACCTCAGTGTTTATTTTTTATCAGTGGATCTTGTACCAAGTCATCTACATCTTTTTTTTAAATTAGTGTTTCCTTGGTGATTTCCATATAAACAGGGATGTATCATTTGTTCTTTGCAGTTAAAACATCCAGGTTATTTAATTAAGCTTCTGGTGTAATTTGTTAATTGTAAAGCAGCAACTACATTCAACTTGGTATAGAAGTTCACATCTTTGACAATGGCAATATTAAATATGGTTAAATATCACTTGCTGCTGTTTTGTGCAACCTTTTCCTACTTGGTCCTGAGTTGAATAAGATCATTTGTTACTACTTGAACAGTGCAATCCTGTACATATCTACTCAAGTAACCCCCATTGAGTTCAATGATGCTTGCTCACAGGAAAGTTGATATAGAAGTGCAGCCTAAAATGCCTGAAGTCTTAAATGAAGATGATCCAACTAAAAAATCTGAGCCACATCAGTACAAACATTTTACTGGGCAGTTAGTTTCAGTGAATTCCATGGAACTTACTTCCAAATTTTTTAGAATCAAGGTTTTAAAATGTGCTAATTTTGTCGCCTGAGGCAACCATAATTCATAGTCCAATGGTGTGCTCTGAGAACCTTCTCTATCTGATAGTTATATTTTGACTGCTGAAATGTTAGTAGCAACCAATTCCAGAGGAGTAGTTTTTACAAAGACTATTCTGGTAATCCGTAAGCAAATACGGACTAGCTATTCTCTACAATCCAAACCTATATAGGATCTGGTTACAGGGAGCATAAGGGGGGTAATTAATCTAAAGATTAAAGTCCATGTTCTTAAATTGGCACAGGATTCTGCAATGGCTTTGGTTCAGTGGGGCTAGATGCTATTCATTTGTGATCTAACTAATTTCATGTACATTGCTCTTGCTGTATTGTTATATATTGTATGGGGCAGCTGCAAATGTCTTCCCTATCCCTACAATAGTAAAGGTAAAGGTTTCCCCTTGACGTTAAGTCCAGTCATGTCTGACTCTTGGGGGCAGTGCTCATCTCCGTTTCCTAGCCAAGGGAGCCAGTGTTTGTCTGCAGACAGTTTCCATGGTCATGTGGCCAGCATGATTAAACACTGAAGTGCACGGAACGCTGTTACCTTCCTACCAAAGTGGTACCTTTTTATCTACTTGCATTTGCATGCTTTCGAACTGCAAGTTTGACAGGAGCTGGGACGGAGCAACAGGAACTCACCCCGCTGTGCAGATTCTAACCGGCGACCTTTCGATTTACCAGCCCAGCAACACAGCAGTTTAAACCACTGCACCCCCTGCAATAGTTGTCAGTAAATTAAACCTTTTGCATATATGTATCGTATTCTACATTTTGGGAAAAGCACTTTATTACCTAATGTAATTGCCAACATCATTTGGAAACTAATACGTACTTTCAATTTTGTTGAAGGTGTGAGAGTCCTTGTGGATGCTCGAGAGAAACTTCATATTCCTTGGGGAGATCCAGCTAACCAAACAAATGGCGACAAACTGATGTCCTTTGATACCCGCTCAGGAGCAGTGATACATGGGATGGTGGAGACCTCGGTTTTTTTACAGTACCTTCCAGCAATAAGAGCCTTATGGGCAGATAGTGGTATCCAGAATGCCTATGACAGGCGCAGAGAATTTCAGCTGGTAAGATGAATCTTAATATTCTATCTGTTGAGGTGGCACACTTTAAAATATTGTTGGGAATGAAATAACTCATGTATGTACCGTTAAACTAACCTGAAACTGTCTTTAATGATTTAAGTCTGTCTTTAATGATTTAAGTTCAGGATATAGATGAAACTGCATAGTCTAGTCTGGTATGCTTTCCATTTTACATAGTTAAAGTTTTGGTGCATTGTTTTCTGTAAAGCCAAGCTGTGGAACTTGTAGAAGAATTTGGATTTCAACCTAATCTTAGTGTGTAAATTGCATGTGTGTTATATATGTCAGATTAAAGGCAAGTTCAGTTCTGAAAAGGAATTTAAGAACAAAATTAGCAGATAGGTGTAATAAGGTGCCAGGATATGTGTTGAAAGATAGTTAATAGAGGAGTAACACTTAGAGATTTGACAATGCTATTTTTATTTATTTATTGCATTTCTTTATTGCCCAGTAGCCAACCTGCGCACAACAATTCTACCACTACTGATTCCCCAGTTTCTCCTCCTCTCCACAGGTCAGGTTTCTAGGTCCACCAAGAATACTTAGCCCTCTTTGGGCTTGGACAAGGAGGTTAACCTGCTGTGAATCAATCAGAGAGCATAACTCCTGATCACTGAAACATGGGAAATGTTACACCTTTTCCTTAAGTGGCTTAGGATATTGACCTCTACCCCTTTGAAGTAAACTGACCTAAGGGAGGACTAAGTATGTTCAATGCAAATGGAAAGCTGATGAAGGGACCCCCATAAAGCAGGGGCAGGGTGGTGACATAATGGAATGATTGAAATTCAGAGGCAGTATGCCACTGAATATCAGTTGCTGAGGGGCAACGGAGTAATGTGCATATGTATTTATTTATTTAAAACATTTCTATCCCACCTTTGCTAAAATGCCTCAGGACAGCTTACAAAAGGCTAAATTAGCAATATAATAATACAATAGGAATAATTAAAACATTCAGTAAAACGCAACATGAAACAGCACTTTCAAAACTAAAGAAAAGGAGGAAGGGAAGAAAAAAGAAAGAAAATGCGACTGTAAAATCGCATTTTAGCATTAAAAATGGTGGCTAAATTGTATGCCCTCTTCATGGCCACTGAGGGACATGTATGGTCCTTTGGTCCAATCTTGAATACTTTTATGTTTTGTATGACACCCAGTAGATTTGTAAAGAGATGCAGTGTAGTTCATGCCTAAATGGCTTATAATATTCTTGACACAACATGACTGATCTTACCTTTGACAGTAGCTTTTCCCATTCCACTGCTTCTTAACTGTAATGGTACCAGACACTGGTAAAGGCATCTTGACTCTTCAGTGCTTAGCAGATCATATGTTTTGTTGTAAAGGGAGCAGAGAATTGCTTCAGAACAGCCTGGGAAAACATAAAATATATGTAGCTAATATGATTTAATTGTCTCCTGCAAACTCATTCTCTGTGGAATGTTATGTAACCAAAGCAGCACCAGCAAGCATAAGAGAAAGGCACTGGCAAACTTGGGAAGTTCATAAAAAACTTGAGAGATATTTAGCCAATGAGGAATGAACATGTTCAGTGGCCTCAGAATACTGACTAATGGTGGTAGAACGGAATATCCTGGAAGAAGGCATGGGTTTAGCTGCAACTTTGAACAGAAGCAGGCCACACAGCAATACTGTGTTGCAGTTTCCACTTGTGCAACCAGTTTTCCAACCATGTTTTTCCAAGTTCATGCTTTTCCTTCCTCTTTTCCCATCTTACCTCATATGCTTGGATTCAATTAGTTATGTCATGTTTACTGCAAGCCGTAGTTTGTATTTCTCTAAACTGGTAGACCATGGTTTATGCCTCCTCCAGGAACTAGGGTCAGATTGCAGTTTACATTCTGGTTTGCCTTCCCAGCTTGAATGAAATGGCAAACTATGGTGTGCTGCAAACTGGGGAGACAGGATATCCCAGCATATGAGAGGAAGAAAGAGTGCACAAATGCAAGGCTCGTGCCAGGTTTGTTCATCTGTCATACAGTGAATTGTTCTTAAGAGAACTTTAGCTTGTAGGTTGACATGTAGCTGGAAACAATGGTATATACTTAACAAGAGGCAACAGAGTAATTATTTTAGGAGAGAACAAAGGGGCAAGAGAGAGCATGCAAGTCTGACTCTCACTCAGGTAATGCTATGCTATGGGTTGTCTTTACATGTAAACCAAACCACTATATTCTATACCTCTCAGATGCCATATTGTGAAATGGACTGTGCCATTGTAGTTTATCCTTCCCAAGAGCATTAAATGGAGGAAGCCATTTCTATTTGGATTCTTTTAATATTTAAGGGGAAAATCATGACTTGAATTCAAAGAAGCACCATTTGAACTTTGCTTTCAAAATGGGATTTTCTTGCCCTATCATCAATTCTGTAGCTCTCTACATTCGTTAAAAACTGCTGTTGAGGAGTCAAGAGACCGTCCAAAAATGGCATGAGGTGTAGTATATGGAGCTGCAGTGGGAGTGCAGAAATGATGGAAATGTGGTAGGATGAAGGAACCTTGTGTGAGTAGAAGTACCTTTCTGCTTACATAGGGCCCTGTTCGATCCAAGTTAATGCCAACAGCAGGTAAATCAGAAAAAGTAATATTTTTATTTTAAGGAAAACAAGCAAATGTATCCTGGGATTCCTTAAAGCCTTTTCTTTTAGGTTGTCATGCAAGTATAGAAATAGAACATTATGAACCATGACAAATATTAAACATTCTCATGTTTTTGTGAAATGCACTTCCCCTTATGTTAATTGCAAGTGACATCTGTTTTTTGTTTGTGTTCTTTTAACCAATTATGCTTTGCATGCTGTTTCAAGTAATGTTCAAGTATTAGCTTTGAGGGTGGGGAAGGAAACATTAGCCAGTTTCACTTTTGTTTGAATCCTTAGTTTCCTGACTGTTGAATGCCTGGACAACAGAGAGGTTTTCTTTCTTTCCTCCACCCCCCTGCCCCCCAAAGTAAAGTTGGTCGGCTTCTGCAAAGTGCATATGCTCTACTTTCATTTTAAAAATTGCTTTATTTGTATTACTTTATCACAATAATGTGTTCAGTATTTTCCAAACTCTCCCAGCACAAAAGGAGCTGACTATTCAAAATAGCTCAATAGTTTTAAATATAATACCACTAGCCACTTTTTATATTTCTGTCAAGTTTGAATGTCATTGCTTTAACATGTCTGTTGTAAGTTGAGCTATGGAAACTCAGATACTGCAGTACTTTCCACTCAGAACTGGCTAGTTGGGGCTTCTGGTTAACCGTTCAGATCTGGATGTGAGGAAATTAGTAAATTCAGCTGTATCTTTTAGGATGTGCTTCATTTACTATTTAGTATGTTCACTTAAAACTTTTAATGTGTTAGTCAAGTCATAAAAGCTTAATTAATCCCTATTCTGGGCTAATAAAGTTCGCATAATTTGCCTTCTGTGGAAGTGACAAAAATGTTTTCCCCATGAAAGGTGTAGAAGAGTAAGAAAATAGATGTTAGATATAATGGAGACCATTTTTTCAAAGATAACTAGTAATAAAATGGCATGTCTATTCAATTGGGGATATTATCCATCATGTAGCATGGACTAGAATCCATTTTGTTAGATACTCTTGTTGATTTGGGTTCATCCATAAAACTCAGACTTTAAATACATTCCTCTGTAAAACTTCGCAAAATGTTTCTTTTTGCTGCAGCAGACTAACCAGGAATATTCACCATGTAGTTTTTTTAAGAGAGTGCTCTGCTTATTTAGCATCCAGACTTGTACAACTTTAGGATTTGTTATTCATTTGTTTAAACAAGGTAACAGGAATTATTTTGAGATAGGGTACAACAGATTGATAGGAACAACAGATTGTTTAACTATATTGTTCTGTAAATATGTTGGAACTTTAACTAGGTTATGTAAATACATATATTTAGATCAGTTCAGATAACTTTCAGAGTAGATAAAAGTAATTCTGTCAAGATCTTTGAACCTTGCGTTAAATGATTCATGGATTAAAAGATTTGCCATAAGGAGACTTCTGCCTGAACCACTTCTAAATAGCGCTGCTTGTTTTTAAACCTAATTTGTTTTTCCTTTTGTCATGTTTAGCAGGGACTGTTAGTAGTTGTCTACATTGTACGGTAGGCATAAGGACTAAGCAAAGTAATTCTGAAGTGTTCTGGTTGATTTTTGCTGTAGCCCTGTAAAGAAGCTTTATGGGGAGATTGAAATAATCTAAAACTCTTGTGGTGTTACTTTAAGCACTATTATCACATGGAACAGTCTTCCCAACTTGAGAGCCAGTGTGGTGTAGAGGCTATGAGGGCAAGACTGGGATTCTGCTTTTACTCCATGCCCAAATTATTTCTAAAAACTGTGCACTCAAAACCTTTCTAGAAAGACTGAGAATTAAATTTTTGGGGAAAAAATGAAGCCATGCAGGAAATATTTTTAATCTTGTACATTCTCTTCCATCATAAATACTACTTTTATTTCTTAATAAAATTATTGATCGAATGTATCTCTGATGGATAAACAATTAAGGATGTTCCAAGTCATGTTCTCTTTTGCAACATGCAGGTAATGTCACCATATAATCTATTTTTCCAATGACTTCAAAGTTTCTGGAAAATAGACATTTTTAGTCACTGTCTAGGAGCCGTAGGACTACTTTCTCCATTACTTCACTAGTAGTATAATCTGTTAAGTGTTTCAGTAAGTCAGTAATGGAATGATCCTGTGGCCCCTAGTCAGTGTCTTAGGGGACGTAGGATAGTTTGTATTCTCAGCCCTGGGGACAAATGCAACACTCCAATCTCAGCGCTGAGGATCACGGTTCTGCACCCACTCTTCTTTATAGCCAGTGTGGAAAGAACTATGTCAGCAGCATTCTGAGGTCAGGAAAGCAGCCTTGAAAAAGGGTTGAAAGGGATGTTTTTGAAGATGTGGTACCCTGCAGCATTTTTAGTTTCCTTCCCTTCCCTACACC